GCAAATTCACGTTCATTGCCATTGTTTTCTGGACAGTTGGCTTCTCAATACCACTGTTGAATCCAATGCAAGGCCCAAGGGCCGCAGCTGGGATTAAACCCGCCACTCCGGCAATATGAAGCGTGTTCGCAACACCTAAGCCACAGATGCTAAGAATGTTAAACATTTATTGTGTTTTCTGCCAGGTCTTGGATCTGTCAGTCAAGTCTTGATTGTGTCAGTCAAGTCTCGGTTGTGTCTGTAAAGTCTTGGTTGTGTCAGTCAAGTCTCGGTTGTGTCAGTCAAGTCTCGGTTGTGTTTGTAAAGTCTTGGTTCTGTCAGTGTGTGGATACAATACAAGACCCCCCCCCCCCCCCCCACAACCCAAAGAAAGAGCATGACAAACTGCTCCCAGCACTTTTTGAAGACAGGCATGAACAGTACACCTGGCATGGTCAGAACTTTCACCTCACTTGGAATATCCTTCGTCTGAATCTCAGTACGGCTCAAGGTTTCACTGTCAAGACTTCAGCATTTTTATAAGACTATCTTTGTGGGACAAGTTTTTCCTCAAGCTTATGATGTAACTAAACCCTTTTGGTCCCAACAACGCAAAGCATGTTGATGTGTATCATTTAACTGGCAAAACCAAATTTGCTGTGTGCCTTTACCTATCTTTTACCATCACACCGTCTTTTTTATCACAGCAATGGCTTAAAGGTACCCCTACATCTGGAGAAAAAAAAACTACAAACTGTAATGATTTATGAGTCACACTCATTGCAACAATGATGCATGCAATTCTACAAAAACCCATGATTGTGTTCATGTAATGATACTGTTTGACATTAAACAGTTACTAATAAAGTCATTTCTTCTCCTTCTTGAACATTCCAAGCCATTAATACCTATGCCTCTAGACTGTCTGTTAGGTCTGCCCTCTGTGCAGGCAGTTTTGCTCTTTCTCTCAAATGCCATCCATTTACAGCCTTAGACTCCTTGATGCCAGCAATAACTGGTGATTTAAGCAGGCTGTGAATTTCTCTGTTGCCTCCACTCTCTATTCTCTGCCATTTTCATTTTTGATGAGTTTAAAGATTCATTGTAAGATTGTTTTCAAAAGTTTATAACGCTTCATATTTATGGTGGCCAGTCTGGCGGATCTGATATTTATGTATAGTAGATGTCTGTATATTTATAAACTGAATATTTCAATTTTTTTCCAACACTGACAAAAAAAAAACTGGTCATACACCCGTGCAACTTCCTGGAAAAATTCTACCATTTTACACAAGTCATTAATTTCTTCTTTTTTTTTTATCCACGCCAAAATTAAAAAAAATAAAAGTATTTTATATATATATATAAATGGAGTAATCAATAAACATGAACAGTGAAGGATTAAATGGAATACATTCCTCAAGACAAAACAAAAATACTTATGATGTGACCTCTTGACCTCTATCAGTGAGGCCATGCAAAAATTTGACTACAACATGGATTTAAAGCATCTAGTTCACACAAAAACTCCCTAAATGCTACTGATATATATTGAAAATCCCTTTACGGATCAACAGAATTGTCTGCATGTGGCCTTAGATTACCGATGTCCTTATGAATTTAAAATTTACAGTTGCTCAGGTGCTGCTGTTTTCTAAATGTGGTGAATTTCTTTGATCTTTTTAGACCAATAATTTGTGTGCCCCTTAAAAATATACAAAAATTGTTTCCTAAAAACCAGAAGCGTGGAGTCTGTTTTGGGAATCAATTCATATATGCAATGATGTGTGACTATTTTTAAAGCCTATCCTGCATACAAAGAAATATTGTGTTCTTCTAACTCAAGGGAGACTAGTGCAGGAGACTGATCACCTGAGAGTGAAACATCTATGAAATACGTTTGAATTATGTAAATGAGATTTTGACAGTACGTGACATATTCAATTCATTATTCAAAATAAATGTGCTTTAGGTTTTCTAACAGATGACCTCCAAAATAGTGCTATTTGATATTTTGCAAAGTTCACGCCACTCTATTAACTGTCAAAATGCTAAGTGTATGCTTTGAACTGGTGTCTGCTTTTTCATATACCGCTTATAAGGAAGAAGAAAAAAACTAGACGTTTGTTTACATTATAATTATTTTCTTACAAGGACACTATTAACAGGTTAAACGCCAAATTTCAACAATTTGTACCAAACGGTTACTGGGTTACTGATTTTATAGTTGGGCTCAACTTTTGGAATGCCAACCCATTTCATTTAGTCATGTCCTGATGCAATAAATTTCTCATGAGACAAAAAAAAAAAATGTTGTACAGTATAACCACACAGATTGCAAAAGAAACAAACATCAGCACAGCAAACCTTTGCAGAGATAAAAAATGAATTATACATAAAATAAAATGTAGAAAACTTATATAAAAAATAAATACAGTAATGCGCAGTTTAATGGCAGTCACAGAAATATGCATGGCAGTAGGAGAAAGAAAAAAAAAGGTATAATGAGAACAAGAGCAAGATCCCTCACCTCTCTACCTTGCTACTGGCAGCCATTTCTTACTTTACATAATGTTAACAGTAAATTTGTAAATATTATATGTGCAACTACTTCTTTTATTTTACATGCTACAGTAGCTACTGTTTACTTCATAGTGTTACAGCAACCTGCAAATATATTATACTTGTTATTTTACATGCTGTCTTATCAAAAGCACAATGTCTTGTGTTGTGTGTCAAGTTATTTTACATGCTGTCTTATCAAAAACACAATGTCTTGTGTTGTGTGTCAAGTTATTTTACAGGATGTCTTATCAAAAGCACAATGTCTTGTGTTGTGTGTCAAGTTATTTTACATGCTGTCTTATCAAAAGCACAATGTCTTGTGTTGTGTGTCAAGTTATTTTACATGCTGTCTAATGAAAAGCACAATGTCTTGTGTTGTGTGTCAAGTTATTTTACAAGCTGTCTTATCAAAAGCACAATGTCTTGTGTTGTGTGTCAAGTTATTTTACAGGATGTCTTATCAAAAGCACAATGTCTTGTGTTGTGTGTCAAGTTATTTTACAGGATGTCTTATCAAAAGCACAATGTCTTGTGTTGTGTGTCAAGTTATTTTACATGCTGTCTTATGAAAAGCACAATGTCTTGTGTTGTGTGTCAAGTTATTTTACAGGATGTCTTATCAAAAGCACAATGTCTTGTGTTGTGTGTCAAGTTATTTTACATGCTGTCTTATGAAAAGCACAATGTCTTGTGTTGTGTGTCAAGTTATTTTACAGGATGTCTTATCAAAAGCACAATGTCTTGTGTTGTGTGTCAAGTTATTTTACATGCTGTCTTATGAAAAGCACAATGTCTTGTGTTGTGTGTCAAGTTATTTTACAGGATGTCTTATCAAAAGCACAATGTCTTGTGTTGTGTGTCAAGTTATTTTACATGCTGTCTTATGAAAAGCACAATGTCTTGCATTGTGAATTAACACACTTTCACGCCTCTTCCTGTTTCCAAAAAAGTTCTGTCGTTATTCTGTTTCAGTTTTCACAAATGTTCTCTTATCATTTTCTGACATTTGGTATTGCTGTCCTATCTGATCTGACCAAAAATTGTGCATTCTTATCATTTTCCAACGTAACAAAAACTGTATATTGTCTCTCTTTTTTTCCCAACACCATCAACATTTTCTACTGTTAACTCACTATTATTTTATTTTGTTAGTTAGTTAATCGACAAATTTTCCTCACGGCACATCAACCAAGTCAATCTTCAGTATATCCCTCAGTGTGTGGCAACTGATAACACCAGCTCTGTGTTGGCCTGGCCTACTATTCTTCTTTGGCTTCCTGTATAGCGTTCATGTTTGGAAACATCTTTAATCTGAAGTTCTTGTAGTCTTTTGAATGTTGCTGATTCAGCGCGTCATCTCCTGAATTGTCTTCTCATCTGGCCTTATTAAGAGCTTTGAGAATGTCGGCCTGGTCCATGGCTGTTCCTGTGTCTACCATGGCCCTGTACTGCCAGCAAGCCATTCCGCTCATTCATTCCCTCTCACCCCAGAGTGCCTTGGCACAAAAATTAAACCAATTCCTTTCAGACGAGATTCCCTCAGCGACTCAAACCATTTTCTTTGATCCATCCAGTCTCTATCTTCTAAAGCATGCTTATTGAATCATTTTATTCTGTTACTATTTTCTAATATAACCAATAACTGGCATTTTTATAATTTCCCAGTTTGCCAACATTTTGTATTGTTTTTAATCCCTATGTGGGTATTGGGACCCTATCTGAGGGAGGGGGAGGGGGGGGGGGGGGGGGGGGGTGGTGGGTTGGTTTTATGAACCAACTCTCTTTCAGCGATTATCTCACACCTAACCCAGATAGCTGTTGCTCCTGTTAATTTTGTAACTGACAACCGTTACATTATATATCTCTCACCCATATGTAAGTGGCTCTAAAGTGGTAACAACATGAGGCCGGGAGAGACAGAGTTAGAATAAGTATATGATGAATGGGACAAACAATGGATGCACAGTGTGTTTCCTTGTACTGAAAGAGTTCATGGCAAAGGATAACTGTGTTACACCAAAACATAACTTTGCCACACTTGGGGAGGGGGGGGGGGGGGGGGGGGGTTGTGGAAATTATTAACGCTTTCAGTCCCAGTAGAATTAACAGCAGATTTCTGAGAAGGCAAAAAAAAGTTGAAGGGCATCTGCCTGCCAGACTGCACACACACAAAAATGAAATTAGTTTCAAGGATGGAACAGATATCAATGGGGCATGTTAAAACACCATACCTCTTCTGTATATTCAGACAAGGCATAAAAAATATATGGAGTGATGTTAAATACACATGGATAGTAACTGTTCACACACAGCATGTTCCTTGGGACTGAAAAGTTCTCAGCACACCATTTTGTGGCAAAGAATAACTCTTTACATCCTGCAATAACACAGATAACTTTTTGTTTACCCAGTAGAGAAATACACAACAAGAGAAATGTCCTATCAGACGATGTGAATCATGAGGGAGCATTGTCATTTTTCAGCGAGTTGATCTTGGAGCATATTTTCAGGGCGGGGCCCAGTTTGATGTTCATGGCGGTCATCAGGTGATCTTCTTTCAGCAGCAGCAGGGCTTGACCATCAATTTCCTGGGAGCGGAACTCTTCTGCGTACTCTCTGCATCCGGGCATTGACTGGATGAAATCGTAGACTTCCGTCACCTGGTTGAAATAAGAACCAAAGTTTATACTCAATCTGAAGACCAGTATTACTTGTGTCGGCTCCAAAAACCCATTTTGGAGGGAAAATAGATTAGACCCACTGAGTACTAACATGCATATCATAAGAGGCAACTATCATGGGGCTTCAAATTAAAACTATGCTAGAAATTACAATAACCTGGTCATTGTCTTTTAAACTGTCAATGCTGTTTTTAAGGATGTCAAGAGTGTTGAGCATGCAAAAATCACAAAGAGGTCGACACGGTGACACCGTAATGACAGTTTAAAGATGGCATGCATCAAACCTCCTTTTTCCGAACAAATGCTGAAAAAGACTAGTACAAATATGTGTTCAGCAGGTCACCTTGCCAAACAACAATCAATCTCAATTTGCGAGCGGTGGCAGTGGTAAAAAGTAAGGAAACAAGATTTGGTGAACTCCTGTGCGGGCAATACTAGAACAACAAAAGAATATAAAAAAACAAGACGATTCCCTTCAAGAGGCTTGTCAAACATCTTACCGTCCATTTGCCAGGGTCAGTTCTGGGTATGTTTCCATCCACGTCCATGTCATACTCCTGCGACCTTGGAGGTGAGTCAGCCGAGGAACTTGTTTCCCGTGTGCTGTTAGAGCTGCTCATTTCGTCACCAACCGGCTGAAAATATTATTTTAAATAGGTCATCTACAGTTTTAAAACAACATGAAAACCAATGTCAGCTTCTCTTCCTGGGTTTAGTTTTATGACAGAACATAGGCTTTTAACCAACTCATTCCCTGTATGTGTTCTGGGGGGGGTGGGGGGGGGGAGAGGGTGCACTGCCTCCCTAACAAGCATCGTACAACCAACTAATCAGGGAAGTTTTCTTTAAATTCAGAGTGCATCTACCTGACAGACAGGACCAACAGTCTGCATACAAATAAGCCAGATCAGAAACAAACCGGATATGCAGGCAAAGCTCAAGTTCTGGAATACTACTAAAGTCCAGAAGTGGATGAACAACCAGAACTTTCTGCCATAGTTTACAGCAGGTTAATACCACGAAAAAGAAGAGCTGCAGTCTGGTAAGATGTATAATAAAAGACCTTGGGGCATACTGGGTCTCTAGTGCCAACCACATCTTCTTCCAGACCCCGTCTGATACTCATTTTGAGCCAAGTGGACTTAGAAACCCAAAACAATGATTCAAACATACCAGTCTCCCAAAACAATGTTTCAAACATACCAGTCTCCCAAAACTATGCTTCAAACATACCAGTCTCCCAAAACAATATTTCAAACATACCAGTCTCCCAAAACTATGCTTCAAACATACTAATCTCCCAAAACTATGTTTCAAACATTCAAGTCTCCCAAAACAATATTTCAAACATACCAGTCTCCCAAAACAATGTTTCAAACCACGACCTTCTCTATTTATAGGCCAACTGGGTCAACAGGGATTCCCGTTCTTGTGCAAGAATTGAGTCCCTCTGTGTTAAGTTTTTATCGAGGAGATGTATACACTAATTAAACTACAGTTTCATTAATTTTTGACATATTTTCAAGAACTATACATCATTTTTAAGGTAAATATGTGTGCTATTTAAATTTAACAATAAAGGCTCTTACAGACAAACAAAAATGCTTTTGCTACAGGCAACATGAACATAAACATCAATAACGTGTAGAAATAGACTGAAAGCTATTCCAGCAAAAGTAAAGAAATACAAGTGCTAACTCTTTGATTCTGAGAGGGTACTGTTGCATCAGGGGAACCGGGCGGGGGGAAAAAGGGGGGGGGGGGGGGGGGTGGACATTTGTACTTTATCAAATTTATCACATAAAAATACTGCTGTGAAACATACACAAGACTGAAGTCCAGAATTAGATGAACAACCAGAAGTTTACAGCCAGTGTTTGTGAAGCAGAAAATTCACAAAAATTAACACACAATTGCAAATATGCATAAGAAGTAGATGAACAACCAGAAGTTTCCGCTAGCGTTTACAGCCAGTGTTCACGAAGCAGAAAATTCACAAAAATGAACACAGACCGTACAACTGCAAATGTGCATAAGAAGTAGATGAACAACCAGAAGTTTCTGCCAGTGTTCGTGAGCAGAAAATTTACAAAAATTAACACAGACTGTCCAACTGCAAATGTGCATAAGAAGTAGATGAACAACCAGAAGTTTCTGCCAGTGTTCACGAAGCAGAACATTCACAAAAATGAACACAGACCGTACAACTGCAAATGTGCATAAGAAGTAGAATTCACAAAAATAATATTATTATTAGTGTATTTCTACAACATATAATTATACTGTTAGTCAACAATTAGTAAAGAGGCAATGAGTGACTTGCTGTGAGAGGTTAGTTAGTAAATAAAATATAGTTTTTATGCACTTACCCAGAGCTCTGAAATATCTTGACACAATTTATTCACAATTTGATTTCTACATTCAAAGTAGAAAAAGAATAAACAGCCAGTTCCCAAAAGTCCAAACTACTGACTAGAAACAGTGACACATACATCACAACATGACTGTCTTCCGTGAATTAAAATTAAAACTTGCTGTATATCCACTTCACAATATCTGCTTGTAGATTTGTAATACGAATACGTTTAGAACAAAGGACTTTGTAAGCATATTAAAATTTCACACAATGCAACATGGAAATGCTTCCAGTAACCTATTTTCGAGGGGACTCCTCCAAAAGGTACCGTGATTCAGTTGTCAGGACCAATAGAAATAGCTCAAGATGGACGTGTTTCAAACATACCAGTCTCCCAAAACAATGATTCAAACATACCAGTCTCCCAAAACATTGTTTCAAACATACCAGTCTCCCAAAACAAAGTTTCAAACTCACCAGTCTCCCAAAACAATGTTTCAAACATACCAGTTTCCCAAAACAATGTTTCAAACTCACCAGTTTCCCAAAACAATGTTTCAAACTCACCAGTCTTCCAAAACAATGTTTCAAACATACCAGTCTCCCAAAACAATGTTTTAAACTCACCAGTCTCCCAAAAACAATGTTTCAAACTCACCAGTCTCCCAAAACAATGTTTCAAACTCACCAGTCTCCCAAAACGTTTTAACTCACCAGTCTCCCAAAACAATGTTTCAAACTCAAGTCTCCCAAAACAATATTTCAAACTCACCAGTCTCCCAAAACAATGTTTCAAACTCACCAGTCTCCCAAAACAATGTTTCAAAAATATCAATCTTCCAAAACATTTCAAATATATAAGTCCCTCAGCAGTTTTTCAAAAAATACTTGTCTCTGCAGATATTTAAACTCAGTGTCTAGAGACAAGAACCTTAGTTGCTTCACTCCAGAAACTTCTTAAGTAAACAGAAGGTTAAAAATAAGCCCTCTTCTCCTTCACATTGTGCCTCAGCGAAGTAATGAGTGGAGATGTAACACTGACTGATGAGCTCTGTCAAGAGCACTTTTAAGTTTGATTTTCATTTCTGTAAGGCTGTTCTTAATGCCATCTCTCCATATTTTCCTAGGTCTCCCGCTTGCTCTATACCCGTTGTAATGTTTCAGTGTGGCTTGTTGTGGTGGATAGTACCAGGACATTCTTGTTAGGTGTCCAAACCACTTCATTTGTTGTTATCTTTGATGACCTGTGATACTGGCTTTATTCCTAGCATTCTTCTGATTTTGTTGAAACTCCTGCAGCTCTTCTAAGGCATTTCATCTCTGTTGTCACAACTCTACGTTACTATTTTACCTTCTGGCATGTTTAATATGAGTGAAAGAGAGAAAGACTTACAGCTGTGTTACTGTCCTCATTATTGTCATCATTGCTATTGTTATCACCAGACGTCTTTGCATAGGTCAACCTGCCACCTTTACTGACACGCCAGTTCTTGCGTCCGAGAATGTGCTTCCTCTTACGTGTTGTACCTGACGAGACATTCACATAATAACCATTTCAACATTTGCACATCAAAACTTCCTCAATCATAATCAATCAAGCACCGTCTAGCACCCACCCCTCCATAATTCACTGCACCCAACAAGCGCCATTTCCCCACAAACCTTCATTGATGTGGTAACTGGAGAATCTGCAGATCTTCAGGGAGGGGGGCATAAATGGGAACCCTGCTACAGGATGTTTAAACCATTCGCCACGAAAAAACAAAATACAATGGGTCAGGAATCTGAAGAAATATCCGAAAAATCCTTTTAAAAAACTAAGTATAACAGGCTACTAATAAATTGTTTTAAAATGTATTTTCTATATTTTTTAAAATCTGTTTCAAAATACATTAAGATATATAAAGGCAATAATAAATAAACAAGAACAGAGTGAAGCACTAAATGGAATGCATTCCCCGGGGGCTAAAATAAATATGTATTGGGTGATTTATATTGTGACCTTTATCACTGAGGCTTATGGGAAAATTTTAAATCAACATGGCTTTAAAAAAAGCTATTGGATTTACTAGGAAACACTATGATATATTTAATTAATATGTTCACATCCAGGCCTCCTAAACACAACACAAGTGCACACAGAACCAATGACATTTAACTACACTTTTCAAGAAGAGGTCACTGCAGAAATGGCGATATATCGCATTTACAGAGCCATATCACAACCAGAAGTGTCTAGATTTATTCTTCTCATAGCGATAGGGTTAAACAGCGGGTGCCAGAATACTATTTGATGTACAACGTACTCAGAATGTCTGACATACATGTAGCAACCACACTATTGACAAACATCTCAACGCCAATGACAGTGAAGGGATCTGTGGTAAAGGTAATCTTGACAAAACAATACTGCCTACTACTTAGTCGTCTCATACTGAACATGACTGCTAACACTAATGAGGACATGGGCCAGTCCCACGGAAGATCATCTGTGTCATAATAAAACATGACTACATGAAATTAAGATGTTATTCTCTACCTTGCTGCATACATGTAGTGTGTTATACATGAATCGTTGTCCAGTTGTGTGCTCTACAGCTTGTGCCAGTGTCATCCATCAACGCACCAGCCTCTATGACACAGCGTACCCACTGTTAAATAAGTGCCTAACACATACACTATCCATAATTTTTGACAAAGCTATTTTTCCCAAGATGTTCTTATAAATAAACAGAGGGGGGAACCATTTGAGGCCGTTAAATATAATAACGGCCTCAAATGGTTCCCCCTCTTTTTATTTATAGGAATGACGTATACACACCGGAACCTACCAACAAATACCTTTCTTAAATGTTTGTGTATTCTAGACAAAGCAATAAGGTCTTACTGTGTTCGTAAATTGTTGCTGTGATTGTTATTCGACATTTGCTTCGTTAATATAAATTTCTGTAACCTATGGTGCCATTTCAATGGGTTGAAATGAATTCTGTCCGTATTCCATAGTCGTGGATTTCAAGCTGTACGATAGACGTGGCCAATGAGACACCTTTTATTTTGGGGGTGCCGAGTTGACCATGTATCTTAGTGCACTTGTATTCATGGCGAGGCGCAGACGCCGTCTGGAGGTGACAGGTTCAATTCCCGGCACGGTAACTATAGCTTTCGATTTTTATGTTGTCTAGTGTGTTCTTTTATCTTTCTACTTCTTTCTATGAGTGCCGTTCACAATACTTTCTGTTACTTGATTATTTTTCCCAAGATGGCATGTTGCTGAACTGTCCAGCATTCTCTCTCTTGATCTCTCCCACTTAACTTTCCTCCTGTCATGATACACTTCCGTTTGCAGCCTCTCATGATATGCTAAAAGATTACAAACTCTCTTTTTTCCTAGTGCTAGTCACCAGTTCTTTCTGTAAGTCTATTTCAATATGTCTTCACTTTTTATCTGCCCAAGTTGTTATCATTCTATAAAACCACACCTCTGCTACTGCACAAGATCTTTCTGTGAGTTAACTTCTCTTAACATCTTCACTACACTTTTTAATCTGCTCATGATTTTATCATTCTATAAAACCACACCTCTGCAAACTTTCAAAAAATTTGCTGACAGTCCATGAATCACTTTCATACACCAGGACTGGGATGCAGAGGTGCTGAACCACTGTGCACCAGGACTAGGGTTAACATTTTTCAAGACCTACCGGTACTTCTGTGGTAACTCTCATTTCGGCTAGATTTCCAAATATCACAGATTCCTACGAAATAAGCTACTTTCCCAAAACCAAGGAGTTTATAAATAAAATTTTAAAAATGAATGCTTTACACAAATGTCCCTGTGTGGGGTTCCACAGACTATTTGGAAACAGACTATTTGGAAACAGATTTTTTTTTTACGGGGGTGGGGGGAGACAGGCTCCATGCCCTTTAACTTGCATGTTGTAAAAGGCAGCTAAATAAAGATTTTCTGAAACTGTATGTGTTGGGCTGAAAGATTTTGTTGACATCACGACTAAACAGTAAACTACAACATAAAATGCCAGGTGTTCTTTCAAAGAAAAGTGCAGAAGAAGAAGAAGGAAAAAGAAGAAAAAGAGACAAAAGGATTTAATAAACAAACAAATAAAAAAAAAAGATTTTAAAAAGAAAAGGATTTTTATTAGAAATAAAAAAACATTTAAACTATTGGATTTTATAAACACAATGATTCTCATACACAGTTTTTTTAAAATAAATAACTCACCTCTGGATTTAAACAAGCCAGCTCGACGAGAGTGACTCACATTATGCCTTCTGGAGCAGGACACCGAGCAAAATCTCAGCGAGTTGTTAAACGTGGAAGCTGGCGCCACCTTCTGGCAGAGCTCACATTTTAAAAGCTTGCTTGAGTGTTTGTGTTCATCTTTCTCATTATATGCCTGCGACTGGTGGCTGGAGAGCTGGGTACTAGATAAATGTGCTAGGAGACACAAGATGAAACATATATAAGAGTTACATAGAGCCAGATTATCAGCTTATTGATCGCGGCTTTAACTTCACAGCAAATGGGTCACCTTATAGTTGCTCCATTAGTGAAAATCACACAAAATGCCTATCATTGTCCCATGTGAAAAAAATCAAACAGACAATAGTCCTGACAAAATCTAACAGATGGCACATGCATTAAATGCATGAGGCAGATAACATACGTGCCAGGACACACAATAATGCACTAGAATTATAATTATGGAGCGTTCATCTGAAACCCGTTCATGTTGTACAGCGTGTAATTGCATGCATTGAGCATGATCATGTGATAAGTACTGACCAATGAATTAAATATCTTATCATCCCAGGGCAAGGACATGTCTGTAATAAAAAAAAATTTTGCAAACCAACACCAAAACTAACGCAGCAATACAGGTGAACCGTTGTCAAAGCACACATCCACTAGAGAAAGAATTTGATGTATCAACCGAGACAGTACAAACATTTGTCCATTACAAACTGCAATAAAGGAAGGTGTGTTAACAGAGGGCACCACAGATGCCGACTCTGCACCCAAAAAAGGAACACACGGGATGGTGTTTGCAACAGTTGCTGCATTACATAGCAGAGTGTGATGCATTTATCTTCGGCAAAGGAGCAGGTGAGAACAACCACCACGCTAAGCTAAACAGCAAAAGAGAGAGTAATGGCAATGGGAGCAGGCTAGATCACTAATCATGCTTTCTTGCTGTGTGATTTTGTTGAATCATATTGTTCATCCGAATTTCGCAAAAATTGTGCGTGAATCATTAGTACAAAGAAAGTGCGAAATTCTGCAACATCCAGCCTATAATCCTGATTTATCACCATGTGATTTTTATTTGTTCGGATCCCTGCCTGAATGAGCAATGGGATGCTTGCCAGAATGCCTTTTTATGACCAAAAGCATGCCATAAAAGACGACCAATTAGATGTCGCCTTCAGAATTGTAGTAAATCTGCCTAAGAGGCAAAAAACCAACAATCAGCATACAAATAAGCCAGATCTGTAAATTGAATGTGGACGCAAAACTTAATTTCTCGAACAAGATCATGGTCCAGAAGTGGACAAATACCTAGAACATTCTGCTGAAGTTTAGAGCTGGTGAATGCAGAAAAAAAAAACAGAAATTTCAACAAGAGTTATCTTTCTTACCATCCACCTGACTGAGCAAAGTAGGTGGCTCATCGTCACAGCTGGTTCCCTCTTCTTCTGACTCCTTGACAATCTGCAGGCTGGCTTTGGGAGGGATGAACTCTTGAAGCAGGGAGGACTGCTGAACCTGTATTAAAAAAACATAGAGAGAGAATATCATCATCAAACGTGTCAAGATGAACACCTGGAAATACCAGCCATAAATGCTCTTTTTCTTCTGCCTTCTAACCTCCACTGGAGGTCAGGCCCGCAACCAACTCCTGCCAAGTTTTTCTATCCTTCGCCATCACCTGCAGCTTTCCCCATGTCCTCTTCATCTTTTTAACTTCACTCTCTAGCTCCCTTCTCCATGTTTTTTTTTTGGGGGTCTTCCTTTATTCCTATTCTTTTTTGGGTTCCAGTGCTAAGACATTCTAGTTATACTGTTCTCATGTTTTCTCAACATGTGTCCTATCCAAAGCCAGTGTCTTTTCCTCACCTCTTGGTCGACTGGAATTTGTCTAGTTCACCCCCAAAGCTCCACATTAGTGATTCTATAATACCATTTAATTTCCGCTTTTCTGTGCAGGTACCAGTTAATGAATGTATGTAGTTTATTAGTAAATGGCTTAGTTGTTCTCGATGTTTTTCGCTCCATACACCAGTACTGCTCTGATTTAGAATTTTAAAAAAGTTTAGTGTTGGTTTTAGTTTTTATTTCTTTCAACGTCCAAAAATGCCCTATTGCTATGAAAGCTCCTCTTGTTTTTTGTATTTGCATTGTAAGATCTCCCCCCCCCCCCCCCCCCACCCCAATCTTTATCTACATTACTGCTCAACTAGGTGTTCGACTCCATATCTTGCAGTGGGATACCATTAAGTGAAACCACATTACTATTTGCCTGATTTATATTCATTATCTTTATCTTTCCCTTAAAGATTTTCACAACTAGCTCTTGTGATCTTGCATCAAGAATATTTAATTTATCTTGCATCTGATTCTGTGAGTGGGACAGAGGAGAAGTATCATCTGCAAAGTCCCGATCACCAAGCTGTTTTGTAGGGGTCCAATGAATTCCATTCTTGGTGTTAGTAGTTACTGTCTTCATAATTCAGTCTATTGCTAGTAAAAATAGGAAAGGCGACAAAAGACACCTGTTTTATTTTTTATGTATCTGTTAGCTTTCCCTCATGAAGAACTTGACATTTCATGTCTTTATATGTTTAAATGTTGCCTTTACTAAGTTTATAATTTTCTGTAGGATTCCACTGTGCCCCATTAATTTCCAGAGAGATTCCCTATCAATGCCATCAAAAGCTTTTTCACAGTCTCTAAATCCAATAAGTGGTGAAGTCAGTTTAATGCTTTGCTCTATTCTTTTACGTAATGAGCTATCTGGTCATAACAGGATCTGTGTGGCTGAAAATGTGCCTGTTCATCTCTTAGCTTAGCAAGAGGTAGACAATAATAAAGCAGTGGGATAACATTAACAGATGGATGAACAAGTCTCAGAGTCTAATCAAGTGAATGAAAAAAAAAAAAGAAAGAAAGAAGAGCAAAAAGAATGACAAAGAAAGAAATTAAAAGAAGTTTTAAAAGAACAAAAAGAAATGTAGAAGAAAGAAACAGAGAAATGGAAGAGAAGAATGAATTAAAGAATTCATAGAAATGGCCAAAGCAAAAGGAAGCAGGAGGAAGAAAGACAAAGATGAACAGCTAGAATATGCCTACAAAATTGCTGAACACTGTAAAACTACTCACAGGAAATGGTTCAAGTCCTTCCTGAATCACAAACCCTTCAATTATATGAGTGAGAATTTGAGGCTTGACAATGGCTCGCTGCTTCTCCACCACCGGAGGGGGCTGAGCAATCGGAGATGGTTCGATGAGAGTCACGGGCTTTGTCTCCTTCACCAGTGTCACCAACCCTGCCGCCTCCATGGCGGCACTAATGCTGTTTGACGACTTGACCACTTGTGAGATGACTGGCTTCTCTTCCAGGACTATATCATCAATTGTCATTTTGCTGCCCAGTAGGGCCGGGCTTAGCTTGGGAAGTGTTGAGCTGTCATTGCTGCTGGCGGCAATCAGTGATGGGACCGCAGATGATACTGATGATGACGATGATGAAGCCACGGTGGCTTTAATCTTTGCTTTCAGGGTGGAGTCAACTGTGGCGGAAGAGGTAGCTGATACTGAGGGTTTCAGTGCTTCCACCTGGAAACCAACCAGAAAAAGTTTACAGGTAGTGCTAATTAATTACTTAATAAAATTTGACTATAAAGCTCAACAGAGGGAATAGAAAAGGCGCACACAAATACAAGCGAATGTTTAAAAACGGAGAACTAAATACAACGGGAGCCGGCAGGGTGTAGTGGCCAGACACTGTGGGTTCAAGGTTATGGGTTCAAATCTGAACAGAGACAAACTTTTTTTTTAAATGCACTTTGGCTTGTTGTGTTATTCTCAAATCTGGATATTCATTGCTCTTGTGGCTGCAAAGCCATGGTAAGTGAAGAATGTTTTTGTAAAAGTCTGACTTTGTAAACTTAACACCTGCTAAATTCTTCTTTCCTACTAATTATAACCGTATTAAACAAATAAATATCATCAGCTTTAAAATGTACATTCATTCCTCTTTAAAAAAATATTTACTTTTGTAGGGATTAGAAATATATTCTCCACACATTCTCCAGGACAGGACATAGCGAGAGAATAGAGTAAGGATAGATAGGAAAGGGAGATGAGAGGAAGAAACGAGGAAGGAGGGAGATAGAAAGGATAAGAGAGGTAGAAGAGTGTAAGATGTAAGAGAATGGGGGATGAGAAAAGAGAAGAGGAGAAGAAAGATAGCTTGTAGGAGAGCTAAACAGCTTGTAGAATAAGCTGTGACAAAAACAGAACTCGGAAATCTAGGTGTCCTAGACGGGCCTGCGTGCCCAATTAATGGCCCTTTGAAAATAAAGTGCATTTGTTTTTCCCCAGTGTAAACATGGACGTGGTCAAGAAACAAATGTGCTGACCCGCTCACATCCCATTGGTTATCCATGTGTGGCTGCAATTGTTTGTTCCATTTCTAACACTCAAAGCTGGGTCAACCGGCGAGCCAAGGTCATTTTTGAAAAAAAGTCTAACACCGCCAGGACCAGAACCCACGACCTTCAGAAAATCACATGAAATTCTCCTGTCGTTATCGGTGTGCAAAGTCCAAGGATTGGGGGGTAAAGTTTAAGGATTTTCTTCTTTTGAGGCTTAACTGGGTATCTGGGATCTGCCTTGTTGGTCTCCTGTCCAGATTGAGATATTTAAAATCTCAGGATGGTATGGTAAACTTTCAAGTAGCAGCCCAGAGGGGACAAACTGCTCAACTGATCCAGAGATATGAATGTCTACACCATATGGCTTTGCAGATGGTGATAAGGCTTTAATGGGAAAAGGAGGACATAGCCACTGTCCAAAAATAGTATCAAATGTTACCTCAGCGTCTGATGGACTTTTGGTCTGCACAGTCTGCGTGACGACCTCGGCCACAGGAAGTGCAGGCACTCTGGTTAGAAGCGGAGGGGCCAGTTCACTTCCCGGCACTTGAACTGGTAAGGCAGTGGCAATGGAGACCATGGTTGTCGTCACGGGAAGTGATGTGACAACAGCAGTTGTGGAAGTGGTGTTGGCTGCAACTGCCGCAATAGACCTCACGGCAGCAGAGCTGGAAGGTGATGGTGCGGTGGCAGAGGAGGTTGCAGTTTTGGGCACGGCTTTTGGCCGGGGCTTTGTGGTCTTGGGGACAGCAGGGATGCAGAGTTTGGCTGGCTGTGAGATGCTGGGCTGAATCTTCGCTGTCACTGGAGTCCGGGGTACAGATGGCAGCATCACTTTTCCAGAAACATTGGTCTGTTGCTGAAAGAGTAGGCAAAGCTGGTATAGAGCAACTGACTGTCAGTTGCTTCCATTATCAAACTCACAATGTGGATGGCTTCCATACTTTATGTGATTTCAATAAAAATTCAGATATGTACGGGAAAAATAAATTATGATATGCTTCAACAATGCAATAGCAGCTTGAAAACGTCTCAACACAATATGGCACTCTAATTCAGTTTTAAAACCAACACAAATGAGAATTCTGACCTATTTGTCTGTTTACACCTTCAGTCTATGTGAATATAGAGAAAGCAACAGTCTATGTGAATATAGAGAAAGCAACAGTTCTATGTGAATATAGAGAAAGCAACAGTCTATGTGAATATAGAGAAAGCAACAGTCTATGTGAATATAGAGAAAGCAACAGTCTATGTGAATATAGAGAAAGCAACAGTCTATGTGAATATAGAGAAAGCAACAGTCTATGTGAATATAGAGAAAGCAACAGTTCTATGTGAATATAGAGAAAGCAACAGTCTATGTGAATATAGAGAAAGCAACAGTTCTATGTGAATATAGAGAAAGCAACAGTCTATGTGAATATAGAGAAAGCAACAGTCTATGTGAATATAGAGAAAGCAACAGTCTATGTGAATATAGAGAAAGCAACAGTCTATGTGAATATAGAGAAAGCAACAGTTCTATGTGAATATAGAGAAAGCAACAGTCTATGTGAATATAGAGAAAGCAACAGTTCTATCTCTTCTTCTGCTTCTTTTTTTGTGTTCACCTGCTGTAATCTCAGGCGGACAATTCTGGTTGTTTGTCCACTTCTGGACTTTAGTCATGCTTCAGAACTTGAGTTTTGCATGCCACTGTTTTACAAATCTGGTTTATTTGTGTGAAGACTGTTGGTTTCTTTTCTCTCAGGCAGCGACACTTCGACTTCGAAGGAAACACCCCTAATTAGATTACTTGAACAACATGCTTGTTAAGGGGCAGTGAGTCCACCCCCTCCCCCCAAACAATTAAGACCCGGAAACTACAAAGGGTAAACAGTTAATATGAGACTAGGCATGCCTACTGTATCCTCAGATGGAGCTGGTGCAGGCTAGAACAGCTGTCTCTGTTCAGTATATGTTGAACACTCTTGCAGCGGACGAATAGCCATCACTTTACCAATTTCACAGTTACATACAACACTACCTTCTATCTGTAGCTTACTAAACAAGTGGTATTATATATAGCAAGTTATGTCCCTCGTGCAGTCTAAGATTTATGTTTGTTCTCTTTGGTGCTGGTAGTATGCATCATCATCTTTCTCACAGACACACCAACACAGGATTACTTGGTAACAGTTTATGATGCCCTAATATAACTGTTCTATACAGCTATATGGTCAAACATGGTTTCTTAGACTTGCGCCGGTATGATTCTCATCCTTGAGATGTTAATTCTACAGACTGCAATCCTGGGGGGGGGGGGGGGGGGGGGGGGGGGGGGGGGGGGGGGGAACTTAAAAATAAAAAAAAGCATTATCTTTCCGGTGGGCAGGACACTCTCAGTCCCACCTAACTGAACAGTTACTCATCGACGTAATCAGAAATGTACTTCTTTTTCACATTCACCAAATGTAAACACCGTCAAAAAATTCTGACTGTTCATCCACTTCTGAACTCTAGTCCTGTTCCAGAACCTGGGTGTTGCATGCACATTGGTTTTATAGATCTGACTGTTGGCCCCTTGCCTTTCAGGTAGATGTACTCTGACTTTGAAGGAAGCTCCAAATTAGTCGACGCTTACGACAACCCACAAGGGGAGAAAGGTATAAAATGAGTCTTTCAAACAAAAGTCTGAAGAAGAGAAAGTCCACTGTTCAACAATGCTGTCTCTTACCTTGCCCATTTGTTGCTGTTGCTGTTGTGGCTGCTGAGGTTTGATCCCTGCAAATGCTGCTTGCATGCTGGTCATTGTGATGGGCTGTGTCGAGAGGGGACCTTGGGCCCGAATCAAGAAATTCTGTCCAGCAAATATTGTCTGTGGTTGGAGGCACACATACAAACAAAGGATTAGATTGATCAGTGGTGTATAGTCTACTAACTCAAATGATTATGACCAGCCAAAACAAATTCACTCGAAATGATATCGTGATCAGCAAGCATGCATATGCACTCACACAGATATCAAACAGAGCATACTTATCCTCACCCTGTGATAACGCTAACAGTGCCAGACATTAAAAATTAAATAAAATGTTTAACAAATCAGTAATCATGGAAATAAAAAATGTCATAAGAGGAAAAAAAAACGTATTCAAAGAATCAATAGTGAATTACATACAAAGACAGCCACACACACACACACACACACACACAACTGGTTAGAATCGGAGTGGCCAGGTCACTTCCCGGCTAGAATCGGAGGGGCCAGGTCACTTCCCGGCACTCGAACTGGTAAGGCAGTGGCTATGGAGACCATGGTAGTCATCAGGGGAAGTCATGTGACAACAGCAGTTGTGGAAGCAGTTTTGGCTGCAACTGTTTTGTTTTTTCTCCATCCACTTAGAGACAATGCCTTGTGTTGTCATATCATTCAGGGGAAAGGCACACCTCCCCCTCCCTCCAGAAAAAAAAAATGCTGCAACTTGAAGAGCAAGAACCAGAACAGAGGAAGTGAATAAGACAAGAAACTGATACAGTATGTACAACTAAGATTTAGCCCGCAGGCCGCCAGCTGAACAGCCCTGGTGTTGAAAATCCCAAGATTATATACTAGTAAATACTTTGTTGAAAGAAACAGACAAACAACGACAACATGATAAGACGTGCAATAAGGAAATTCTGCTAATCATGACTGCCTAAGCTTATCATATGATGATGACGACGATCTAGGCATCTTCGTCAAAGATATAACTAGGTTTATGGTTGTATAGGTTGTAAACCTATCTTTAGCATTAGGACTCACCTCTGTTTTTTATAATATAAATTGTGCATGTCCTTTGCAGAATGGCACTCTCCCCACAGCCTGCCTCAAAGAAATAACCCAGTCTCTCACCAGATTCCCCGCCTTCTGCACTTTCTTAGCTAAAGGGTCACTTTAACCTGTGCCCACCTTTGTGCTCCTGCACAATACATTCCGCAACTATTCTTTCCAATCCACTGTGGTGCTTATATGGCCAAAATATTTCAGTTTCCGAGGTAACTGTCTCTACAGTGTTATTTCCTGCTTTCGTGTTAAGTTCTTGCTGCCCCCCCCCCCCTCCTGTACATAGATCACCTACCGGCATGGCTCATGATGATGATGATTATGCGACAACATCAATATTCATAGAAGACTGTAGACTATGGTGCATGATCTTAGAGGTGAATTAAGGGGTTTAGCATGAGACTAAAACTGCAAGATGATTATGATGCGATGAAGACAAAGATGTGACAGTCCCAGGTATCACAGAAGACACAGATACCTTACTGTCCCTAAATGGGAACAAGCAACACTGCTGGGCTACTCACTGACATCTGAGTCTGACTAGGATTCATGATGATTACCATGATGCTGACACAGATAATGATTTTGATTGAGACAAACCCCTAAATTTCACTGAAAACACACACATGTCTATCCCTAAAGAGCAACAAGCAACGCCAGTGGGCTACTCACAGGCATCTGTGACTGGTTGGCATTGAGAATCTGCTGATGTCCAGCTGCGGTAGCGATAGGTATCCCCTGCTGCATCTGAAGGCTGGCCATGGCCTGCATGATTGCCTGGTTGGTGAGAATGCTCTGCATGGGCTGGGAGGTGATGATCTGGCCAGCACTGTTCACCATCTGAGTCTGGTTCAACCGCAGGCCACCCTGGTGTGTGCTCACTGTACACTGTCCATAAGTCGATAAAAAACAGGTACAAACTTGGTCAATATCCCAGAGTTACAGTTAAAAAACATAGTAAAATGCCAAAATAAAATCTAAAATGAATAAACAGTACTGGGGAGATTGCCAAATAGTAAAATCTACAATTAATAAACTGTACTAGGGAGAAAGCTAAACAGTAAAATATACAATGAATAAACAAACTGTACTAGGGAGATTGCCAAACAAAAAAATCAACAATACATAAACTATACCAGGGAGGTTGCCAGACAGTAAAATCTACAACAAACTGTACTGGGGAGACAACCAAACACTAACATCTACATAGAATCTACCCAAACCAAGCACATGACCTAAGGAATGCAAGGCCAATGACTGAACCACTACGCCACGAATTCACCTATAAACCTTCTCCATAGAAGCCATGGTGACAAAGTGGCCATGGTGCTAGCCTGCTGAGACCCTGGTCCAAATTCGATCATCAAAAGTGACCAGAGATTTTTTTTTATATTACGGACTAAACAGAACAGAAGAATTCTTGTAATTTTTTGGACAGCCAAAAAGAGCAAACCAGATGTTTTGAAAGAGGTGAGGGCTCAAAAAACAACTTATCACAAACATCAGAAAAAGGCAGTCATAATTTGTTGGTCATATGAGAATAAGGAAACTGAAATGTTGCAACCACTGGAAAGATTTGTGGAAAAAAACCAGCCAAAGACAATGCAGAAAGACTGTTGACAGCCTTTTGCCATGGCATGGAGGGGTGTCAGTAAAATAACTGATACACGCTGTTAACAATCGCAGAGTTTAGAAAGGCATGATCGCAAAAGCTAGTCTGCATAGCACTTGATGATGATAGCTCGGGTCGACCCAGGCTTACAACAAACAAGTGCAGGCTGATTTTCTGAATTAGTGGAAACAGTAAGGCAAGGAAAGGCAGCAAAGAAGATAACTGACCACGTCACTTCAGGGTGGAAACAGTAAGGCAAGGAAAGGCAGTAAAGACTGACCACGTCACTTCAGGGTGGAAACAGTAAGGCAAGGAAAGGCAGCAAAGAAGATAACTGACCACGTCACTTCAGGGTGGAAACAGTAAGGCAAGGAAAGGCAGCAAAGACTGACCACGTCACTTCAGGGTGGAAACAGTAAGGCAAGGAAAGGCAGCAAAGACTGACCACGTCACTTCAGGGTGGAAACAATAAGGCAAGGAAAGGCAGCAAAGACTGACCACGTCACTTCAGGGTGGAAACAATAAGGCAAGGAAAGGCAGCAAAGACTGACCACGTCACCTCAGGTTGTAGCCTGTAATGTAAGAAGAATGTGTGTAGCTATGGAACTAGTTTTACCCTGTGCTTGCTGAAGAAAGTCTTGTGAATACTGCTAATTCTCTGCTATGGATGAAGGCAGAAATGACATCACTGCACTCAGGACATTCCCACAAGTGCTCCGTCTCCTTCCATAGTAGCCAACAAAGAGTCGATATGCTAATAGTACCAGTTGCAATGGAAGGTGGCTGATGTTTTCCCCTCAATGTTGGATATCTTCCAGACCCCCCGGTGCTGAATTAGTATGTCAATGTATGGATATTTGGTCTGTTCTGCTGCAGTAGCCAGGTAATCCCAAAGAGTCTTCATACTGTCTGGTATATGATCAAGTAGCAAATCACCCAGAGGAGCTGCAGTAGCCAATCTATCAGCCTACTCCTTACCCCACACACCTAAATGTCCTGGACAGAAAATCCATGAAATGCTCCTCATCCGAGTCTTTTCAAGCAATGCAAGCCACTCTATATGCTTAGGATGCCAGTTTCTATTTTCCAAAGCATGCTCTGTGAGTCAGTTACAATTACCACATGTTGGGCTGTGCTGCTCTCAAGCCATCGGAAAGATGCTGTTACTGCCTCCACCTCCATTCTCATACTGAATGTTGTGACATTTTATATGATTCTCTCTGTTTTCAAACAGTGTCCATTCACCTATCTACTAACAACACAACTAACTAAAAACAATTACCTGTGGAACAAAGTTGCTTCCAAGACCTGGATTCCCCTGGTTTGAAAATACTCCAATCTGTCCTAAAACAACAGGTGGTGCCCCCGTCTGCTGAGCAGGAAGTACTGTGGGTTGCTTAGCGACCATGGATGCTATAGCTGCTGTGGCATTCTGGGCCTGATTCTGGACATTCTGGCCTTTAGAGCCATTTCCTTGAGCTTTACTGTTTCCATTGGCTGTCTGGGTTATTAGTCCCGGAATTGAGCTGGTGATGATACTACTGCCGTTTCCCAAGGACATGTGAGTTGGCTGCAGGAACATGGATTCAAACATAAGTGAAAACACACACACAAAAATACAGTATAAATATTCATTAACTGATGCCTGAGCAGAAGAGAGAATTAAATGGCATGACAGAATCACTTCTGTGGAGCTTTGATGGAGAATTAAACAACTTTTGGTGAATCAAGGCGAAGGAAAAACACTGACATTCACATGCCGCGAAAAAAAAGATGACAATATAACTATAATGTATGTGAAGTGGAACCCACAAGGTCAAAGAAATAACGGCATACAAAAAAACACATGAAAAACAGAATCAGAGAATATGATAAAAAATACAGAGGACATCGGTAGAGCTGCATGCAACAGAGGATAGGACAAATCAGCAGGACTTGATTGAGGACAAATGCTCTCTTTAGGAATAAAAGGCAGTACAAGAAGAAAACAGCATAGTAGGTAGTTACAGCCACATAGTTGTGAAGTGACAAGCCAGATCTTCTTCTTCTTCACATTCACTGGCTGTATAAACTCCTGCGGAAAGTTTTAAAACTAAAGTTTTGTGTGCATGTTTTATAAACATGGCTTAGTTGTACGCAGACTGTTGGTGCCTCATCCTACACTCTTGACATTAAAAAAAAAACCTCTAATTAATCGCCTTTGATGACAGGCCTGTTAGGAAGCATTGGGTCTATTTTTGTTGCCTCCAAAATGGAGCAGCGGAACCCACATTGGGATTCTGGTTCTAATCCTTGCCATGTAGATTTGGTCACTGGGTCTGAAAACAGTATCGTGTCACAAGTCTTGCCCCTTATTTATACAGATGATTTTTACATGCCACAATGTCAAACATCCCCTTTCTTAGTCTCTCAATGTATGCACTGGATAGGACAAATGTTGAGAAAACCTAAGAAAAATATAACAAGAATGTCTGTGCACTGGAACACACAGGAGCACAGAAATAAAGGAAGACCAAAAAACACACGGAGAAGGGAGCTAGAGAGTAAGTTAAAAACATATACAGGAACATAGGGAGAGCTCCATGCGATGGCAAAGGATAGAACGACTTGGCGTGAGCTGGCGGAGGGCTTAAGCTCTATTGGCGGTTAGAAAGACAGAAGAAGAAGAAGCGCATTGTCTGCTTCTGATGTGAGTTCTTATTGTGAGTTAATTTCTTTCAAGACATCTTCATGACAGTGTTTATATGTCCAAGGTATTCTCATTATTGACTGGAACTTCCAGTCGAAATGGACGCTAGGCACGGCCACTATTTTAAGCCGCGACAAATTTTTTGCTTCTGCCAGACAGTGGCCGCTGCATTTTTGCTACATTTGTAGACTAAAAGGATATAGTTTCGTTACCCAGCTTCTAAGCTGAATGCATGGCATGACACTGTGAGCTGCGGATTTCATTTAGAATGTTTTTCAACTGTGACCAGCGTGGTGGATTGAATTGTAGATTCAGAAAATGGTGTGATGCCTTTTGTCGCAATAATGGTGGTGCCATTATGTGATTAAAATTGATTGTGTGTGCAACTGTTGATCTGTTGGTGACTTCTGCTACCATCCATGATGAACTGCATTTCTAATGTCGGACAGTTTGTGTTAGTACTTCGGATGGCTACCGTATGCTTTTAATTTTCCACAAAAAACTGTGATAAACATTTTGTGTGTTTTTGCTGGCACAGGAGCGGGGCAACTTTGGGGTGACCCGTTTGCTATGAGGCTGAAACTAAGATTACCAGATTTTCCTTATCCTTTGCAAAATCAAATCTCAATTACGGGCTGATATATTGATTGTCCATGATTCACTTCCATACATCAAGCTTGGCTTCTTATATGAACTCTCACATCTTCTAAGCCATAAAATATTAGGTGGGATGGCCATCTCGTTTCCTCAACAGCTTTTCTTTACAAAAATGTTCTTCTCCTTCTGTGTCCGCCCCTAAAAAGATGGTTCGCATGTTGTGTTGTGGTTTACAGATAGGCTGTGTTAGCTGTCTTTCAGCCCAAAACATCCAACAAAATCCTGATTAGCTGCCTTTTATAGGCTTACTAGGAGGCAGTGGGTCCTGTTAGAGGGCAGTGGGTCTTGTTAGGGGGCAGTGGATCCTGTTAGGAGGCAGTGGATCCTGTTAGGGGGCAGTGGATCCTGTTAGGGGACAGTGGACCCTGTTAGGGGGCAGTGGATCCTGTTAGGAGGCAGTGGGTCACGTTAGGCTGCAGTGGGTCCTGTTAGGGGGCAGTGGGTTCTGTTAGGGGGCAGTGGGTCTTGTCAGGGGGCAGTGGGTATATTCTTTTTTTTTCTTCTCTAAAAAAAATGAGACCCTGGAACCCATATTGGGGAGAAGAAAATGGTCTAGTGCCAATTTGTATTAGATTAGTTGACCCCAGAACTGATCAAGGGACCCATCATAATCATCAGTGCCTGCTCAAGACCAAGAAACAAAAGAAATAGTCACATAGGCATGTTACCAAAAGTACAACAGACATGTGTTTCCAAGCAATCAATGATATATACATGTGGATTAATGTAAACGTAAGACTCACCATCTGAGATGCAGCAGTTGGAGACAGAATGCCCCCTGGACTTCCTGGGTTGGCCCCACCAGCGGCTCTGTTCTGTTGTTGCTGCTGCTGCTGCTGTTGCTGATGCTGCTGTTGCATGGCCAGGTTCAGCTGCTGCATTGCCGCTGAAAATTGCATATTTTGAAAACATAAGCCATTTTAAATAATACATTTCAGCATAATTGTCTTCTTCTTAGTGTTCACCAGCTGTAAACTCCTGCAGAAAGTTCTGGTTCTTCATCAACTCCTGGACTTTGATCTTGATCCAGAACTTTTGTGTGTGCAGACCCATTTTACAAACTATCTTATTTGTATGAGACTAATGTTTCCTTGGCTAACAGGCAGATGCACTCCAACTTTGTAGGAAACCCCCCCCCCCCCCACCCCACAACACAATTTGTTGCCTTCTACACTATATTTGTTAGTGACTCTGGCTCTATTCTCTGTTCTACAAAATGAAGCCTAGAAACATACACGAGAATCATTGTTATGAAAGAGGATAAGACCTGAAGACAACACAGCACGAACACCAGAAACAAGCATTATTTTCTGGACACATTTTGACAAGAGAAAAACTGGAACATGTGACAACCGGAAAGTTGTTAGTCAAGGTTCTGGCATCACTGATGATAAGTTGTCTTTGAGCCCTCACCTCTTTTAAAACATCTGATTTGCCCTTTTTTGGCTGTCCAAAGAAATCACACAAAATGTCTTTCACCCTCCCATTTGAAAAACTAGTGACAGTGACATGACAGTTCATTAAGAGCAAAATCTTGAAGCTCATCCATGCAAAGCAAATGCATAAAACAGCCTTCAAATGTGACTACACTAACAGTCTCCCACCAGAACTGCAACCCACTGATGATGCAAGCAGTCAATCACAAAAGAAGGCATTGTACATGGAATACTGCATAAGTACACGCCACTCCAAAGGTATATCGGATACTCACCTATTTAGGGTGCTTCACTACACAAAACCAGCACAGGCACCGCAGAAGAAAAAACATTCCAATCCACAACTCAGTTTTGCACAAAGCAATCAACTCAGTAGCTGGGTGACAGAACATTAGATTTATGGAGAGAGAGAGAGACAGAAGGATAAAATGCTTGACAGCCTTTTGTCATGGCAGGGAAGAGTGTCAACTCATGAAGGATGCATGAGATCAGAGTATGTAGATGAGCATCATTGCCCAAGCCAGTTGGAAAGGTACTTAATTACCATCACCATTCACCTGCTCTCAAGACAGTCAAGAAATGGTAGCCACTATGGCAGCTAGCCTCTCAAGTAACCAGTAAGACTGGTTATCAATATGACAATATACACCTCGTCACCAGTAAGCTTGGGTATCAGCATGATCATATACATCTCAAGTCACCAGTAAGATTGGGTATCAACAGGACCATATACATCTTAAGTCACCAGTAAGCTTGGGTATCAGCATGACCATATACATCTCAAGTAACCAGTAAGCTTGGGTATCAGCATGACCATATACATCTCAAGTAACCAGTAAGATTGGGTATCAACAGGACCATATACATCTTAAGTCACCAGTAAGCTTGGGTATCAGCATGACCATATACATCTCAAGTCACCAGTAAGATTGGGTATCAGCATGACCATATACATCTCAAGTCACCAGTAAGATTGGGTATCAGCATGACCATATACATCTTAAGTCACCAGTAAGATTGTGTATCAGCATGACCATATACATCTTAAGTCACCAGTAAGCTTGGGTATCAGCATGACCATATACATCTTAAGTCACCAGTAAGATTGTGTATCAGCATGACCATATACATCTCAAGTCACCAGTAAGCTTGGGTATCAACATGATCATATACATCTCAAGTCACCAGTAAGATTGTGTATCAGCATGGCCATATACATCTTAAGTCACCAGTAAGATTGTGTATCAGCATGACCATATACATCTTAAGTCACCAGTAAGATTGTGTATCAGCTTGACCATATACATCTCAAATCACCAGTAAGCTTGGGTATCAACATGATCATATACATCTCAAGTCACCATAAGCTTAGGTATTAACATGACCATATACATCTCAAGTCACCAGTAAGCTTGTGTATCAGCATGACCATATACATCTTAAGTCACCAGTAAGATTGTGTATCAGCATGACCATATACATCTTAAGTCACCAGTAAGCTTGGGTATCAGCATGACCATATACATCTTAAGTCACCAGTAAGATTGTGTATCAGCATGACCATATACATCTTAAGTCACCAGTAAGATTGTGTATCAGCATGATCATATACATCTCAAGTCACCAGTAAGATTGTGTATCAGCATGATCATATACATCTCAAGTCACCAGTAAGATTGTGTATCAGCATGATCATATACATCTCAAGTCACCAGTAAGATTGGGTATCAGCATGATCATATACATCTCAAGTCACCAGTAAGATTGTGTATCAGCATGATCATATACATCTCAAGTCACCAGTAAGATTGGGTATCAGCATGATCATATACATCTCAAGTCACCAGTAAGATTGTATCAGTATCAGCATGATACATATACATCTCAAGTCACCAGTAAGATTGGGTATCAGCATGATCATATACATCTCAAGTCACCAGTAAGATTGTGTATCAGCATGATCATATACATCTAAGTCACCAGTACAATTGTGTATCAGCATGACCATATACATCTTAAGTCACCAGTAAGATTGGTATCAGCATGACCATATACATCTCAAGTCACCTATCTCTGTATTAGGTCACCTTTAAGAAGACACTACAATTACGACATCATCTGTCTTAAGTTGTTGGTAAGACAGTATTATCACCATATCACCTGTCTCAAGTCACCAATGACTATTATCACCTACTATGAGCAATCAGATTACTACTATGATAGCACTTGTCTTAAGTCCCAGTAAGCATGGGTCCGAGGTTCCCTTGTGGAGAAAAACAATACACTCACTGCCACCCCAACAATCATGTTGTAAGAGTCAATTTACTGGGAACCTCCTTCAAAGTAAGAGTGCATCTGTGTGAGAGGCAACGAACAACAAACTGCACACAAGTCAGTAAAACGGACGTACACAAAACTCAGGCCCTGGTACAAAGCCAAAATCCAACAGGACGAACCAGGACTTTTCACCGGAGCTTTCATGGGGGGGGGGGGGGGAGTGAACAAAGAAGAAGAAAATCACAAGTCTCAAGTTACCAGTATGTTTGAGTGTTAACACATCAGCTACCACTAAAACATTTCCAATCCTGAGTCCCCTTAAAGACTGAGCGCTATCAATATGACATTGCCTGTCTCCAGAACGCCTGCACAAGAAATGATTGGCAGCACACAAGACAGAGGGCTGGGGACAGACATGACAACCAACATAACCTGCATTTAGAAGAAAAATCTTACCCAGAGCATTTGCATTCTGCAGCATGAAGGGCTGTGCGTAGCCCTGGAACTGTGGCACATAGGTCTGCTGGTGTAATGGCTGGCTGATCACCTGCAGCTGTGGCATTGGGGTGTTCTGAGAGCGCATGGCATTGGTTGCAGCTGTCAGAGTCGGCTGTGGAGTCGGGGCCTGTTGGGCCACCATCCCCTGAATCGACATGGTCGCCACCGAGGAGACTCTTGGCTGCTGCTGTAACTGTTGGAGTTGCTGCTGCTGCTGTGCCTGTTGAGCCTGCTGCATCTGCTGTGGCTGAGCTTGGGTCTGCGTTGGCTGTGGGATGGGCACCTGCTGTTGTTGCTGCTGCTGCTGTGGCAGCTGCTGCTGCTGAGACTGATCTGCCATCGTGGCACAACCAAGTCTATAAGACCCACAACTTCTGAGAGTAAATTTAGTCAAATTTCATCCTGTAGATGCATCAAAAGAAAACTAAAGTATTATATGCATGGACAAACATTAAACAACTAAATTGATTACCATCTTTTGGTCCAGAAGAGATGCTGTTTCTGCCTCAAAGACTGTGTACTTTGGAGTAACAATCCTGGAGTCTTGCTGAGTTAAAATAAAACTATATGCAGAAAGAGCTGCAGCAACAGCTGTGATGGCAGTGGTTAAGTAAGAAAATAATGAGAGGGAATACTAAACAAAATAGGTCATGACCCTGTTAAAATTCTAGAAACAAATATGTGAACCAGTTTTTCACAGGTCACTACAATATTCTTTAAAAATGTATTCACCTATACTGTAGCATTTCTTTCTGAAAAACATAAATGAGTGATCAATAAACAATAACAGAGTAAAGAATAGATGTAATATGCTGCCCCCCCCCCCCTTAAAAACACATGAATCGGGTGACTTATGGCATGACCTCTATCAATAAGGCTTACTACAAAATCTGATGCCATACTGTCTTTAAATAAGCAATTTAGCCCCAAAGGAATTATACCCCCCCCCCCCCCCCCTCCTTTTCCCCTCAACCTAATGCTATTGTTAGTTAATATATTCATTTCCCGACATCTGAAATGTTTGCACAGGCAAAAACTTGGCCAGCAGCATTAGTTATGCACACCGTAAACTGGTCACTATAGGCAAGTCCAAAAAGTGTCATTTCCAGGGTAATGGACCCAGCTGGAAATGTTATTTTTTCTTGCCTCTCAGGGCTAACAAACAAATACAGTATATGGTGTAATAAAACAACATATGGAGAACTGCATGGTAGTTGTAATAGTTGGGAACATTGAGTACTGTGTAACTGCAACTGAGCTGATTGCCAGAAACAAAATAACACATCAAAAACTATTACTCCCCCCCCCCCCGAGTGGGTTCCAGGGCCCCAATGAGGGGAGGGGGGGGGGGGGAAGGACCCACTGGCCCCCTTACAGCCATGTTGTAAAAGTCGACTAATTAGGGGTGTTTCTAAAGGCAGAGTACACCAGCATGAGAGGCAAGGAACCAACAGTCTGCATACAAATAAGCCAGATGTATAAAACTCAAAACTCAAGCTGTGGAATATGACTAATCCAGCTGTGGACAAACAGCCAGGATTTTTCTCCAGGTAAATTCTAGGAAGAGAAAGAAAAATCTGACTAAGAATTTCACTGAGAGGAAAGGAAAGAAGCACGGTTACAATAGAATGAAGAAACCAATCTGACCGCTTTCAATCAGCCTGAATAAGCTTTTGGTTATATGATCTTTATATGGTTCTTCATGATTATATGGTTACACTTCCTGATGTGGGAAATAAACAGGCAGACAGACTGGCTGGCTCTGCACAACCTGGTGGAATATTGATGCATGATTAGGCAAACGTGGTTAGGGTCTTGTCGGAGAACGTGTACAATTCAGAAGAGCAAGCCAGTCTGGTGAGAGTGATGCAGCGGGGCGTGACAGATGCTCTACGCTCAGAGAAAAGGCAAGAGGGACAAATAATCAGATTGCTACTGGCACCATTGGTATTGGATCTCTGCGCTGGCCGCTGAAGATGGGAATGGTGTGTTTATGGGAATGTCGAGTGTTGTGATGTCGGTTCTTCAATCAACTTAACTCAACTTCATGAAGATGGTGCTTCTTGAATTCCTATAGGGTCTCACTTTTGCGTTTCTGTTATTTAGCTATTCTGCTTCCTGATGTCAAACTGGGTGCTTCTTATCCATGTCCATCAAGGCTTTCTGTGGAGGAACCTGCTGCCAGTCAAATATATAGTCATATATAGTAATTGGTTGCATTCCCAGTAAGAACTAGTCCCTACCAGGACATATGCGGTGAGGTACTTGATCTGGCACGTGCACCACTCTCACCATCTCCATTGCCAATGCACTGCATTCTTTTTTCTTACACTGTGCTGTGTGGCATTGATAATCACGTCTGTCCAAACTCTTCTGTCTCATGTACTATCAACCCAGCAGCATCTGTGGCTTAGGCAACAACATGAATCTTAAGCCACATCTATAAACTAGATAGTCAGCGGTATCTGCATCTTTCACAACGTCCAAAACAAAAAAATTCCAGACTAAGGATTCTTTAGTTCATTGTAATGGCACACTTTATATCCTATTAGGAGAGACATCTAGTTAGTATACATTATGTTTAAGAGGCTGGGCTTAAAAAGGCTACAAGCCAGAAATGACACGAGGTTTAGCTTGACTACTGTGGATAATGTTTGGATAGATAATGTGATGTGTGAGAGAATAAAGCTTCATTTCGTTTTCGGCACTTGGAGGAGTCTCTCTCAACTTGACTCTTATAAATGTTGGCTGTTCCTCAACCAGAAAATGTTCCAATGAAAAGGACCCGCTTCAGCAATGCAAAGATATTTATGCAGAATGTGAATGCCGAGCTGTACACCATTTTTTTTTAAAAAGGCCTTTACTGAAATGCCTCCAACAATGCTAGGGCAGCAAGAAGTGAGCAAAACTCAAGAAGATTAGAAAGGGATTTAGGTACAGTATAGCCTCGCTTAACGAGCACCTCTCATAATGAGTAATTCGCATAACGAGCAAAACAAATTGTAAAAGAATGACTTGCTTAACGAGCGACGTTTCGTATAACGAGTGGCGGGAAGAGGGGAAGTTCCAGATTACGCGCATGTTACATCAGTCTGTGTTTAGCTTTCGTTCCAGTAGCATCGTAGTGTTACTTGTGATCACACATTTTCTCAAACTTGTGTTATATTGTGATATGTGTACATGAATCCTCCAGACCTACAAGATGACCTCCCTGAAGAATTTAAGTTCGTCAAGATCCAGTTTCTGCCTCCCGACACCACTCCGCTTCTCCAACCCATGGACCAGCAAGTTATTTCTAACTTTAAGAAGCTCTACACTAAAGCACTCTTCGAGCATTGTTTTCAGGTGACTGAAGGGACCAACCTCACTCTCAAAGAGTTTTGGAAAAATCACGTCCACATCGTTGTCTGCCTCAAGATGCTCGACAAAGAGGGAAAGGGGTTACCAAAAGAACCGTAACTTCTGGTTGGAAGAAGCTTTAGCCGGAGAGCGTTGTCGATTTGTGACTTTGAGGGGTTCGAGACAGTACCTGTGGAACCTGTAGTCAACGAAATTGTGTCTTTGGCCACTATCATGATGTTATGTGGATAACAGTGATATCAAAGAGCTTGTGGAAGAGCACAGCCAAGAGCTGACCACCGAAGAGCTTATGGAGTTGCATTGTGTTTCACATCAAGAAATTTTGGAGGAAAGTTTGTCAGAGGCAAAGGAGGAGGTTAAAAAAAAATCTTCTGGCTAAAGAGAAATGCTGAAAGCATGGCAAACTGTTGCATCTTACATTGAGAAGCCTCACCCTAATAAGGAAGTGGCTATGCTAAATGATAATGCTGTGTCGCATTTTCGCAAAATTTTGAAGCGTCAGCAAAAAAAAATGTCTCTGGACATCTTTTTAGTAAAAAAAATAATTAGCTATGGATCATAATTAATTCAATTTTTTTTTCTTCAAGTCGAATTCGCATTCTAGATGGGTTTGTTCCGCGTTTGAAGAAAAGATGAAGATGATTTACTCTCTATGTATAAAATTTGCTTTGAATAAACGTTATACATAGCGGTTTTTTTTAGCATTTTTTTTCGTCGTGGAACGCACTATCATATTTTACATTAATTTATATAAGAAAAAATGTTTCGCACAACGAGTTTTTCGCTTAACGAGTATGATTGTGGAATGAATCATGCTCGTTATGCGAGGTTCCACTGTATTTAGTTGAATATCATTTACAGGACGCTGAACAAACTGCAACATTTTTTGGCTGTTTGATTTCACCAGAAATTTGTACTCTCAATAACTGCCATTGCTTCCTCAATCGTCCACATCAACACAAAGAGGTCTGCTGCCAAACTGTCTGCAGCTGAAATTGAACTTGGCAACTCAGAATTATGAAGTGTGTCAGCCTAAGCTACAGTTGCTAGACCTTTAAATGACTTTACTATTTTTTCTTCAGACACTTACCCAACTGACCACATTAATAAAAGTGCTACTGTAAGAAACACCCAATTTGGCAAGCCTCCTATGCATTCATTTTTGAAAGTCTTGGTACCAAGATTGACTAAAAACAGTAAACCAGTGCCGCCAACTTTGCTCTGAGATTTTATGTTTGCTAAATGTTCACATCTGACTCACTCATGAAGATAATCTGAAGTTAGCTATTTGTATGCTACCCAACATCGATTAGGAACAGTTAGTATTCATGAAAATTAAAGCTTCTTTAATGAAGCCGTCATAAATTTACAACCAGACATAGGTATTGTGATTAATTCAGGTGCCGGGCACTTTGTCTAAAAGGCCAGTAAACATATTTTTTGGTTGCAAAACAAAAAAGAATAATTAATACTAAAACAAAGCCACACACTCTGTCACCAGGTGTCAAGCTGCTAGTCCCCAAGATAAAAAGGTGCACTGTATTTGACTAATCCCCGTTACAAAATCCTTCATTCACAGTCCTATTATGCCATTACATGCCACGTAGGGTTCGCAGACCATTCCTCCCTTATGTACTATCCTGTGTAATCACAACAATATCATGGATAGAATCCAGTCCAGCACCTCTGGATTCTCTTACTCTGTAGCAAATATGTGTGCAGGGTGATGGAACTGGCCTCATGCCCAACCCTCCTCCTTTCTCAATTAGTCTTGGGAATAGCAAAGCTGTTAATAATTTTAAAAAAATTTTTTAACAATACAAATCCGGAGATGCAGTTAATGCACATAACTGACTATCCTCCGAATAACAGTCCCAA